TTGAAGAGACTTCAACAACATTCAGGAAACTCTGAGCGAAATTCGGTGTGAAAATCGAAGGAAAATCCACTTAAAAAAATGAAAAAAATAAATAAATAAATAAGAGTAAACAAAAAAAAATAATAATAAGCAAGAAATAATTAAACAATTGAAACGAATTATATAATACAAATATAGCGAGGAAATTTCAATAAAAAGCTTGAAGAAAATTTCATTAAAAAATTCCGAAAGAAAATTAAAAAAAAAATTTATAAAAGTAAAGAAACTCCAAAAAACATTAATTTAAATTTCGATAAAACGGAATAAGAGGATAATAATAAATGTAAATAAATAACAAAAATAAAGAACAAGTCGAAGAAGTTCAAAAAAAAATCCATTAAATTAATGTCAAAAAAATTAAAAAAAAATAATGAACGTAAAAAAACTCCAAAAACCATTAAATTATATTTCTCTAAAACTGAACAAAACTGAATAAAAGGATCAGGGAAAATAATAAAAATAAAAAACAAGTCAAAGAAGTCGAGAAAAAATCCATTAAAAAATGTCAAAAAAAAAAAAAAAAAAAAAAAAAAAAAAAAAAAAAAAAATAATGAAAGTAAAAAAAAACTCCAAAAAACATTGAACTAGATTTCTCTAAAACTGACTAAAACTGACTAAAACTGAATAAAAGGATCAGGGAAAATAACAAAAATAAAGAACCAGTCGAAGAAGTTGGAAAAAAAATTCCATTAAAAAATGTCAAAAAAAATTGAAAATAGAAAAAAACTCCAAAAAACATTGAATTAGATTTCTCTAAAACTGACTGAAACTGAATAAAAGGATCAGGGAAAATAATAAAAATAAAAAAGTTTAAGAAAAATTCTTTAAATAAATTTTCAATAAAATGAAGAAATATTTTTCAGGAAATCAAAGAAAACAGCAAAAAGAAATTAATAAATCAACAATAGAAAAAAGAATTTAAAAACTCCAGAAATAATGCCATAAAAATCAGAATAAAGTTAATCTATAAAAAAACTCGATTGCCATTAATATAATTTCTTCAAAAAATTTAATAAAAAAATGCACGAATAATAATTCTTAAAAAATTCTGGAATAAAATTAAATTGAAAATTTATTTAATAAAAAGTATGAAACATTTTGATAGAAAATATTGAAAAAAAATTATAGAAAATTTGAAGAAAAACTCAATAAAAATTTAAAAATAGTTTAAAAAAAAAAACTTCAATAAAAAAATTATTAAAAAATATTAATTAATAAAAAAATATAAATTAAAAAAGATTAATTTAATGAAAGTAAGAATAAGTTTCAGTAGAAAATTGAAGAGATTATAGAAAATTTGACGGAAAGCTCAACTAAAATTTTAATAAAAAATACTCCTATAAAAGAGTTAATAAAAAATATTGATAAAAAAAATATATTCAATAAAAGTAAAAAAAAAATTCTATATAAAATTAATGAAGTTGTAGCAAACTTGACTAAAAATTCAATCAATATATAACAAAAAAAAAACACAATTTAAAAAAAAATCAATGAAAAGCACCCACACAAAAGATCGACAGGTTTTTGCTTTTGACACCAATGGAATGTAGAAACAACCAGTTATATTTGTTATAGACACTATTAAAAGAAAAAAAAAATACTAAAACATGCATGTAAAATATTTATTGAGGCGGTGCAAGTGTAGAAATATGGATGTAAGCCCCTCAACTACAGGTTTAGTGCTCAGCTGAGGCTTACTCGTGGTGGTGTGGACTTATAGTTGTAATCAGCGACTTAAAAATGTTGTAGATTTTTTTCTGTTTATTTCCAGCTCATTTTATACGCTCATACACACATGCATACATTTTATACAATTTTTTTAATTTTTTTTTGTAAATTTAAAATACATTGTTGCAATTTAATGCCGCTCAGTGTCTTTTATTTATTATACACCATCACTAACGGTGTTTTTTTTTTGCTTTTTTATCACTCGCAATGCTATAATTCACACAACAATTGCAGCAGCCAATTTTCTGCTACTACAATAAAAAGCCGGTTGAATTCCAAATTTGCTCTCCAGTTAGATATTTTCTACACATTGCACGGCTCTTCGCATTTATTGGCTCATTTTTCGTATTTTTATTACACTCTCTGCATAACTATTGGTGATTTACAGTTACAACTGCATTATAATAATAACAACGGTAAAAAAAAATCGAAAATTTTTCAATTGCTATTGAAAACTGGAAAGAGTTGAATTTTACAGGTGACCGCATACCAAGCATACCACGAACTCCAATAGGGCAAAAGGCCTCTGGTAGCTGGCAAATTGCTAATATAAGTTTGTGTTTATGTGGTGTTGGAGGAGGCAGCAAGTGTAGTTGGTGGAAGGCATACGAGTATGAATAAGATAAAATATATCTTAGCTTTATACTGAGAATCAAATGTTTCTTTTTCCATCTTCAGCTGCTTCTGTGTCCGAGTACTTAGCTTACAATGCGTAGATTTAAATTCCAAACTTCCTAAAGAGCTCCAGAATGGTATTCAGAATGCAGTCGATCCTATGGAGGAGTAGCTTCGAATAAGTTTCTCTAAAGAGCATATCATGGAAATCCATTCGTAACTCTCTTCTTTTGAAGGAAAAAAAACTCGGCTTTTACCGCCTAAAGTCTTTAAAAATAGTATTTTATTTTTTTTTAAACTAGAATACAGAGAACCTGAACCCAATTCAATCAAGGTTGAAACTCGGAAAGTCACTGTAAGCACAATAATCAAGCCAAGGGAGATATGTTATGCTTATAATGGTACTAAACTGCATAGAAGGTTTCGATACTTATAGCATACTTTTAGGCGTTATACATATACATATGCTTCATTTTATATACAATTCTCAAAGGTACAATAAGTAACCAGCCTTAAGAACTCTTTATATGTAATACTCTCCATAAGCAAAGGTAGCTTGTTAGTTGTTGGGGTTGCATGATCACGGAACCTCGGATCAGGTACACTCATACCTACTGGCCCGTTGTTATACTTATGGGGGTGAGACGTATAGGGTTCGAGTTTACAGAGAGATAGAGAAAGAGAGGGACAGAGAGAGAGAGAGTGAGAGAGAGAGTTACAGAGAAAGAGAGAGAGAGAGAGATAGAATGAGAGAGAGAGATAGATAGAAAGAGAGAGAGAGATAGAAAGAGAGAGAGAGAAAGAGAGAGAGATAGAAAGAGAGAGAGAGACAGATAGATAGAGAGCGAGAGGGAGAGAGAGATAGAGAGAGAGAGGGAGAGGGAGAGAGGGATCGAGATAGAGAGAGAGAGAGTGTACAGATGCAAAGAAAATTCGAGTCATCTAAGAACGAAGCTGAATTTTCTGGTTATAAGTCACTGGTTTTCGAAGAATTCTCTTGGTCTGCTATGTGATAAAAATTGACAAATTGTGTTAGGTGTGGTCTTTGTTCCACTATCGTTCGAATGAAATCTGACGTGAAGATGAGTTGACTCTAAATTTTCTTGATGATTTAATGGTCAGAAATCTCTACGTGACCCTAGATAGGCTTCAACTCGATATGTCTCAGTGTGTACAATACGAACTATTTCCTTAATTCCTGGGTAGATTTGGTGTCTTATTAAATGAAGGACTTTCGCTAGGCGCGTGCGTTACCCGAAACTAAGGCAAACAGTTCATGACAAAAAGTCATGTTTTTCTGAGAGCAGAATCGTGAAAAAAACGCAATGATTTTTTTTTGGCATAAGAAATATAACAACAACAACAACGACGATAAAGAAAAAGCTATGAATGCCAATAATAGTTTTTTGATCGAGAATTCTGGTTTATAGTAGCAACAGCAGCAGCACCCATAGTTAGCGCCAATATTCCCTACCAGACGTCACCATCGCCAACACCGATGCCGACGTCGACGCCACTGTATGGCATAGAAAACTGTGTCAGACAATCACTTTGCTGTCGTTGTCGTCGTCGCTTATGCGCGTCTCGTAGAATGTGCACCTTTGAGGTGGTACACAGGAATGTTGCTATTATTTATATACATACATATGCTCACACACATACAAACAAATAATTTTACACATTTGCAGAAATGGCGATTGCGGTGCTAATATCTATTGGAGTAGTTTTAAATCGTTTTTCTTTTTCTTTGTCGTTAACCGCAACTCAAGCTATGACAATATCACATATTAAAATATGTATGTTTGTATATTGAAAATAGTGCTAAAAATATGCTGAGAAATGCTCGTAAAAATGATATTATTTTTTGCTCTAAATCTGGTTTAACATTTCGAATGTTCTTGGCTTGTTGTTGGTTCTGTCCTAAGGAAATTTAAATTATTTAATAAATATTTTTAATTAACTGCAAAATTTAATCTTTTTTATTTTAATTCAATTAATATTCTTATACTTTAATTTATATAAATTCCATTTTACCTTTATTTTTTTATACATTATTTTTTGTTTGATTTTATTTTTTTGTTTTATTTTTAAATTTAATTTAATTTAAATATGAAATTTTCATCTTGTTTTATTTTTATATAGATAATGTATTCATTTTATTTTATTTTGTTATTTTTTTACTTTGTTTCATTATATTTCGTTTTACATAATTCATATTATTTACCTTGTATTTTTTTCTTTTATTTATTATTTTTTTTTAAATTTAATTCATCTATTTCATTTCATTTTTTTTCTTTTCATTTTATTTAATTTAATTCAACTTTATTTAATTTTTATTTTTTACATGTTTTATTAGATTATTTTACTTTTATTTTTATATTTTTTTATTTTAATTTATTGTAATATAATTTTATTGCTTAATCTAATTTATTTTAGTTTAATTGATTTTATTTTAATTAATTTTGTTTTGGAATTATTTTTAAATGTTGTAAATTAAAATTATTTTTCTTTTTTATTTTGTTTTGGTTTCTGTTTTTATTTTTATTATTTTTTAATATTTAATTTATTTAATATAATATTTAATTTTCTTAAAAACTCCTGTTTTTTCTCCATTTCAGTTTCACCACGATCCGTTTCTGTTTCACCAGCTTCATTATCACCATCCGAAGGTGCTTAGCTCAGCTTAGCAAGTACACAAACCGCCGCTGAAAGCAAAGTATTGTGAAAATTAAATGTAACTAATTCACCACAGCGGCGTTAAAGCGCACAACTACTCAGCACATATTCAGCAATAGAACATCGAGCCAAACACATCACACCACAACACACCAACATGGCGACGACCAACGCGAGCTCAACGATAACGACTACGACACCAACACCAACAGCAACCGTTGATGACGATTATGTGACTGTAGTTGAAGTAGATGATCCCGCATCCAAAGACACAAACCCCAGACGACAGCTAGTCAAACAAGCACGACAAAGCTCAGTTGAGGAAGACTCTTCGTACATAACTGTGCTAACGATCAATAATCAAACACAGCTGCATCGAAGCAGTAGTGGCAACAACCAGAATGACGGAAGTGGCGAGAGTTTTGCACAAGCCGAAGATCAAATGAACAGTGGTGGCGCGCATAACGGCGGCGCTACAGTGATCGCAACCGATGAAACGGAAGAAGATACAGAACTTGTTATCGTACACCGGCAGCCAGGTGAACGTTTAGGTTTCGGTCTCAAATTTCAAGGTGGCACACGCAGCGCCGAAAAGGTGCACAAACTCTATATACAATCTTGCGCCGCTGATAGTCCGGCGTCCAAAGTACGCGCCAGCTGGGGTGCGCTGCGTGAGGGTGACGAAATTGTGAGTATCGATGAGCAGCACGTCTGTCAGTTGACGCGCATCGAATGCGTGCGCTGTTTGAAAGATAATGTGGCCATCAAGTTGCAAGTGCGCAATGGCTATGGACGTAAGCCCGACGCAGAGGAAGAAGTACTACTGGCAGGTGGCAACAATAATTTGGATGTTGTTAATGGCTCCGCGTCGACTGTGGGCACTAATGACGTAAGCGTCAGCACAGCGGTGATTATGAGCAATGGGCAAATGAAGGGCAGTCCACCGCCCCCACCGCCGGTACCGCCGCGTAAGTTAGTGAAGCGTAAGTCACTAAATGGCGAAAGTAAGGTTGTAGTGCCAGTAGCGAACTCTGCCACGGCACCCAGCAGCACTAGTGCAGCGCCAACTATTCTACTAACCACAGCGCCGAATGCACCGCACAGCAGCAACAGCAGCGGCGAGGTGGATAAACCTTTTACGCCGCCGCCGGACGCTGAGTATTACATAAATCTCTTCGCCGACGGTCAATCGCTGAAGACAGAGTCCGAATCGGATGACACTGCAAGCACAATTTCGACAGTGATTGATAAATTTTCCATGAGCTCTAACTATTCGTCCGAATCGGACTTGTCCAGCTACACAGCGTCGCTGACAAATGGCCAGAGTGTGATTAATAAATCAGAGTTGGCGAAGGTGCTCAAACCGTTCACCATGCTAGAGCAGGAGTTCAATGTGAATGTAAATGGTAATACGGCCGTGCAGTTAGAGGAGTGTCTCAAGAAAGTCACCGACTCGTCGTCGCCGTCATCGCCGTCATCGCCGTCTTCATTGCCGGCGTTGATGGGGGATGTGATGCCCGACTTGTTAGCCGGTACAATGACAGCATCACAGGTGAAGAGACCAATGACATTCATACCGGGTAATAACTATGAGAATGTTGAGTTCAAAACAGAAAAGGTGAATACCTATGAGAATGTAGATCTCAAGCCAAATGAGCAAGGTGCGCCAGTTGTAGTCTTACCTACACCGAAACCACGCCAAGCGGTGGTTGCTGGCACCAGCGCTGGTTCGTCGGTTATTGAACCCAGAAAACGTTCAATTATACCGACGCCACGTAAAATGACCACGCCCACTAAGCTACCTATACAAGTGCCACCACCGACGGTGCCAAGCGAGGCTCTACCAACTAATACGCCGACTAAGGCAACACCAACATCAACACCGCCTAATACACCCGCAACACCGACCACATCCGGCACCCCCAGTTTCACTACCCCAACCAACCAGCCACAGACGCCGGTAAATACGCCAACCACGCCCCTCGCAACCGAGATTACAACACCCAGCGCTAAAGAGTTCATCACGAAGATACCAAAAGCTATCGCTTCGGTCTTCGGTCCGAATTCACAACGCTCCTTCGAACGTGCCAAAACCGAGGGTGAGATCAAATTGAAACAGTCTCCCGAGCATGTGGCTTCCATTAAACAACAAACTGCCTTGTTTCTCGACAAGGAGTGTCATAACTCCAACGATAGCGTTGCAAGCATAAAGCGCAAGCCCTCAATAGAGCAGTCGAAAGCTTTGGAGACCAGCAAGTTATCGCCGCACAAATCACGCATCCCCATCGTGCTCTCACCGAAACGTTCGCTTGAACAGGAAACCAACACCATGGAACGCAAACATCTCGGCAGTCCTTCCAATATACCACGTTTCTTAACGCACAAACAAAAATCTGAAACAGATCTTAAGTTGGGCTTTTACCGCAGCAAATCGAAAGAGTCCAGTCCACCAGTTAGTCTCAAAATGCCGTTACAACGTACAAACTCTGCCGAGTCGAAGCTTAAGAGTCCAGAACGCACACTTATACCAGTCTTTAGTGGTCAATCTCAGTCCGCAGAAGCAATACTTGCTTCCACCGTCGCCATTAGCACACCCAATAAAGTGAAAGGTCCGAAACCGAAACCGCCAGAGCGTGTGCAATCCTTAGCTAAAACCCCAACGCATATACCGAAACTGCAAACCTCAACAGGTGTTAGTGGTTCGGTCACCGTGGCTGCAGCGGAGAAAAACTCCACGTCGCCCACACCTACATCTGCCACGTCCGAAAGCTCAACACCCACAATGCAGACATTTAAGCAGCAATCCCCACCTGCAAACGTCTCACCTCAACGCGAAATACGTTTCAAGATACAAACTTACGAGAGTAAGGCGCAGGAGCCACGTACGCCCTTCACGGATGTCAATGATAATGAAGACGACAAAATGCCGAGCCTCTTCGATTTGGTGCGCAAGAATAGTCCAAATGCACAACGTAAGGATGATGTGCCCGCTTTGACCACAACGTTGTCTACATTTAAAGCACCCGCCAGTCTTCAACAGACGTCCGAGCATGTGGAGAGTAATGTTGATGATGAAGAAATGCCACCGGCTGTTGTGGGTAAATGTATCAAAGTGAATGATTCACAACCCACATACTACTCCAGCTCGAGTGAAGATGACGATGAGGAGGGCAATGCCGTGGAACATGATGCCGAACGCGATTATGATTGTGAGGATGGTGAGAAATTGGGACCGCCTGAAGTGATAAATGGTCCGGGACCCTCGGAGGCTTACTTTAATCTCTATTGGCATTCGAATATGTTGCCGACGATTGGTGAGGTGGAGGAAGAATTCTCGTCGTTGGAGCCGCCATCTCTGCCGAATGGGTGAGTCTAAAAATTCATATAAACAGCAATTACTATTTGACCTCTTGATGGGTTTGGATAGGTAGGCATAAGTATTTTATGTTTTTGTTATTGGAAGAAAGTATAGCTGGAGTCGGGTGTTGTAGTAACCATCGCAACTGTGTCGTTGATTTTATTGAAGCTTCGTTTAGAAGTAGGCGTCATCCAATGGAGACCAAAAGGGGTCGTACAAGAGGGAACGGAAGAGTTTGAAGAGTGGGTACGCAAAGAGGTGATCAGTGTCGTTCGGAGACACATTGCATGCCCGATATATGTTGCCTATTTTGTGGTGGAGTCTGGATAAGAAGAAGTTGAGGCTGCTTTAAAGTGCAGACCTTATTGGTGTCAGTAGTGTTCGGGTCCGATGAGGTTGGATTCTGATAACGCCATTCACGGAAAACAAGCTAACGGATATTCTGTGAATGGAGTTCAGAGCCCGTTGGTGGCTCATGTGCTCAGATGCTTCTTAGTTTATCACCGTCGGCCGATTATCGATTGCCGATTGGAGATTGGTTAGTGAATTCAGAATTTTCCTTGAGCTCTGTTATTCGGTGACAATTGTAACTTTATGCGGAGTAAAGGAGGTGAGGTTAGGTTAAGCTGGCTGACTCATTGGGTCTCACATAGACGATAATACATCTATAGTATTGCCAGGCATACCACATGCCATCAAGCTGTTTTACTTATTGTGCGGTGATTTGCTGTTCTTTTCGCGAACTTAAGTAGTCATTTTGGTTCCTTGGCTATTGCCGATTGAAGATCCTGTAGCCTTTCTGCGCCAAGTAAGCATAGGCTTTGTCTTTCGAATGCCGTGCATTTACAGATTACGGGATCCACCGTCTCCACACACTCCTAGCTTTTCCTTCTTTTATGATCCCCAGACAGACCTATTATGAACGTATAGAGAAGCCAGAAGGTAATGCCCGTTAACAGTCCTATTAGCCGCCTGGTTTACGTCCTCTTTGCAGATAGTACAAACTTTGTGAGTCTCTTGTTATATCATTAGCACATAATTCTCGCCATTCTGCAGTACTTAGCACGTTCCCAGTGCCTATTCGCCTGACCAAATAGTGTTGCTTCTAGCCTTTGCTTTACATCCTTGAATGAAACTGGAAGGTGCGATGCTGGGTTCTCTTCTGCGTAGACAATCTTCAGTGAAGTGGTGAAAAGGATACCTGGAGGTGGGAGAGAACAGTTTTCCTTGAATGTTTCCGTACAGAGGTCAGCATCGCCCAGTATGAGATCGAGGAGTCTACCTCTGATGGCAAAAAGAGCTTCGCAATAAAAAAATATAGCCATAGTGACACCACACTGCGGAAGTTCCTGAGTTTGGAGTTAAGGCAACTGCCCACACAGATATATGAGCATCTTCAAGTATCCGATTGTAGCACCAAATGGTTGAAAGCTTCAAAAGCTTTTTGCAGATCGATTTCAGTTGGGCTACACGGTATCAGAATGTTTATCGCGGTGTATTTGCTGCTGGGCTCCGTTGATGGATGAAATAAAAATAAGCCATCAGATGTATAATCATTCTGACCACACGCTCGATGGTAGTCTAGGCGATCGATCGTTGCATGCGACTTAAATCCATTGTTGCAAAACAAATGCGAAATATCAAGGGATTAAGAACGTTTCTCAATCAATATGTCAGCTGGTTTAATAGTCCAAAAAGCAGGAGTTACTACGATCTCCCGCGATTGGGTACAGTGCTGTCCAAACTGTCACTCCGTCCGCCGGTCTCTTGGGGTGATTTGTAATCCAGGCGCGGCACTCCTTTGACGGGACATAGATAAAGCCAGGTTCCTTGTCAGAAAAAGAAACAGGTCAACTCTCAGCACTTCAAAACAGCGAATAAGGAAAAGCTTATATGTAGAGCAGTCCACACATTTATTGTCAGCATTCAACACTACTCGATATTCCTTCCTCACGAGTCTCGCTGAATGGGCAGCTTGCTGGGAACTTCATAAGTGGTAACAAAATGAGTCTTAGGTCTAGTCCTCTGCTGTGTGGGCACATTTACATCATTCAATTTAAATATCAACTCTTCTGAATAGTTTCGATTCGACCTAAGTGCTTTCTGCAACTTCTTTTCTTCGAGCAGTTTATATTCATACGGAGCTTCCGATAGAATATTACTCTAACGCACTTCTTACCCCTTGGGCTTGGAGTTACCTATATATTTTATATACCTTTTTTATAGGCTCATAAAGCTAACTATTCCATAATATTTTAGTTTATTTCAATAAAATTCTGAGAAAAAAATTATCAACCTTCCATCACATACTTTTAGGCTCTATGAATAAAAACCACGCCGCTAACTAATCAGACCGTTAAAAGAGAAAAAAGAAATGAAAATCCATTAGTAATAACACAATCACCAAACCAAAAACCAGATAAGATTGTTAATAACAAAAGCGATAAGTTAATACAACAATAAAAACAAGAGCATAAAAATAAAAGTGAATATCAGTAGACATCACGTCCTAGAAGGGAGTGGAGTAGAGTAGTGATAAAAATGAAGCGAACAAAAAATCAAAACAAAATAAAATTTTTAAAACAAATAAGTATGAACAGAAACATACCCCAGCAGAAAAAAACGACGACGCGACTTTATGACAGTTGATGACGAAATGTTTCAAGAGAAATGAGAAAAATACACATTTTCGCTTATTTAAGTGCAAAACTTGAGATATGGGCTTTTTGAAAAACTTGTTGGTCTTCCGTGTTGTATTGCAAACCATTTCGATTCGATTGTTTTTCCACAGACCATTGCTTAACCTACAATTTGTCACATTTATATAATGAGACAGATTTTTGAGCGATAATGTGGTGTTAATATAATTTCGAGCCAAGTATACTAATACAGCTCTCTACTCTAGTCTTAGTCTTCCCTATTTGTTTGCATTTAATGTAGAATATTGAGACACTTATGCATTACACACCGCCTTCCACGGAAATGACTTCAGAAGGGAGTGAACACCTTCCACTCGCTCTACCAGGTAATCATCATTAGGGCAATGAGACTCTAACTGGGTTATGAGATGAAAGAGAAGAAAGATTAGAAAATTATGCCGGCAAATCGACAAGAAAAATTTGTACAAAATGTGTTAGCAATAAATGAAATCAAAATGCAGTCCAAAAACAATTTCTCATTGCGCAGCGCCACGGCGGTAGTGTAAGGTTTTTCTTTTTTTTTTTTTAGCAGTTAATGATAGTAGAAGCGGTACGACAATGATAAGCGACAGCAGGTATGTAGGTAGTAGGTGGAAAGAGCAAAATAAAAAACAAAAAAAAAAAAAAAAACAAAAAACAAAAAAAAAATCAGTAGCACAAAGGTATCGTATGTAGATTACGCTCATGTTTCTGGGTGCGTTGGGAAGTAGCGCTGAGGGCAGTTAAGTGTTGAGTGTGTAGCGCTGAAGAACTCACCGATAACGACGACTCACTCACTCACCTACGCTTGCTTACAAAAGTAATTAGTACAAATTTTAATTTGGCGTAGTTAAGGTGAGAAAAGCAGCGTTAGATAGTAAACTAGAAGTGAGCAATTGAAAATTTAGTTTGGTTCAGTTACGTGAGTTACTTGAACGAAGTGCGAAAAAGTGTCGAAGAGGAAGTAGAGACAAAGTAGAGACCGATTTTACATATATGTAGTATATATATATATAGTTAGCTGAGTGAGTATTTAAATTTTAGTAAGCAATTTCCGATTGTTGTAGCGGTTGTTGTGATAAATTCGTTTTTTTTTTGTGCTTTTGTTTTTGAAAATAAACAAAGAATCCCACAAAACAACGGTAATGAAAACATGCCAATTGCCGCACAGCAGTTATAGCCTTTGGGTGGCGATAATTAGTTAAAAGCGAGCAAAATAATAATCAATTTTCCTTTTTTTTTTTTTTTTTTAATTTTTCCTACCTGATTTGGCTTGGTTGGGTAGCATCAGCAGCAGCTGTCTTTTAAAATAATTAAAAATTCGAAAAAAAAATTTTTGTTATCATAATTTTCTCCATACTTTTTATCGCTTTTTCTCACTTTTTTCACTGTTCTTCATATTTTTCTGCTAATTTTCGCAGACCAATTGTAATTGTGGATGATTTGAGTCAACAGCAACAGAGCAAACAGTTTGAAAATCACAACGTATCAGAGAAGATCACCACAGAGCAGTTTGGAATAGACGAAAGTGCAACAGAACAGCAAACGTCGAAGGAACCCAAAGAAGTGCACAATAAAGACACCATACAACTTCCAGAAGAGTCGAGTGAACAACAGGAGTTCGCGCAGACACAACAGTCTTTAAACCTAGAGTCGATTGATGGGCAAAAGAACGAGCTGGACTCAAAGAAAGTAAAAACAGCAACAACGCGGGTGACTAAAACAAACAACTCCACCAGTACAGCCGACAAAAGCAACACCCGAGAATCAGCGAAGTCAAGCGCTGGTCCTTCAGTCACAACTAAGACCAGGAAATTGCATTTAAAAGCTATGCCCGTAGCGCCGCCTAAAGTACCCAGCAGCATGGGGAAAGCGCAAACTCATGAAGCACCCGACGTGGCTGATAAAATGCTCGCAAAGGAAGAGCCATTGGCGTGCGCGGCGGAAACGCAAGCGACAAATGAGCCGAATGGTGACAAAGTGACAGTGAAAGCGCCTGCAATGGAAGTGAAGACAATTATAGATACAACAACAACAACAAATACAATACCAATCGAACAAGTTAGACCAGGTGATAAGATTATGAATGAAACAACAGTGTCAACAACGGACACTAATTACCAAAACGAAGTTGACGATAATGAGCCGGCAGGCAGTGCCGATTTGGACGCGCTTATCGAGCGCGCTGATATGCATAATGCCAAGGCTAATGAGGTTAAAAGTGTTGTCAATACTGAGGTTGAGATAACGGTTAAGCAGGCGACAACGCAGAAAGCGCAGCACGTAGACAAACCACAAGCGGCGCTGATGAATGCAAGTGAAAAAGTAATGGAAAGTGTACAACAGACTGGGATGGATGAGGATGGGCAGTCACTAGAAGCAGCACAAACACTGCAAGAGACCAAAACTGAGCTGACAGAGAGCACAAGCACGAGCAGTAGCAGTAACCGAACAAGTGAGCGGAGTGAGACGCACACAGAGCAAAAGATGGCGCAGAAGGTGGAACAAACGGTGGAGCAGCAAAAGTCCGAGACACAGTCGGAGTCCACGTCCGAAACGCGCCAGACTAAAACAACCACCACCACCACCACCACCAAGAAACAGATAACCAAATCGAGTACCTCCCACACACAGCAGCTGGAGAGTACCAGCTTCGATGCACTTGATGGACTGTCAGAGGAGATGCGCAAAATGCTAGCCGCAAGCGGTGGTAAGCTTACAACTACCACTACTACAACTAGCACACCGCTCTCACCAACCTTTAACACCAACCTGACGGAGCATTTCAATAAACCCATCGCCTTCACCCTACAACCATACGCCGAGCGTGTGAGCAGCGCTGGCACGCCGCGTGTCACCGTCTACGAGGAACGTCAATTCGAGAGTAATCAAAATGCCTTCACCGAGATACGTACACGTGATGCGTCGGGTGAGGAGAAAGTACAGACGAGCACAGAGTCGCACAAAGAACGCGCCAAATTGAAGAAAGTACAGAGTCATGAAGACGAATTAGATCAGCTCGGCATTGAGATGGGTGCTGCTGCAGGCGCAGATGGTAGGCCGATGACGATCACCGCGTCTGCGGAGACACGTATATCGGAATTAGCCGAGAATCCACAAGATAAGCAAAGTATTGAACGGGGTATTTTGAATTTATCGGAGAGTGGTAAACAATTGCAACGCAATCAGTTGGGCGATGTGGCGTATATGGAGTGTGAGCATCAAGTGCAGGACTCTTACGAGGATGTGGCGCAAGTTCTCGGTGGCGGTGGTGAAAGCAACGCGGATGACGCTAAGCAGCCGACGCTACTACGTGAGCTGAGTGAAACCTTGACTGTGACCAAGGATGGTGAGAAGCAGGTGACGCGTCGTAGCGAAACAACAAAAGAGACGCCTAAGAAGGGCGCAAAGTTGTTGAAGAAGTCCGAAGATGAGCGTCGCTTAGAGCTGGAGGCGCAGAAACTGATTGAAAGTTATCAGAAGGTCAAGAAGGAGGCGGAAAAACTTTTTCAGCATGAACTGTGCGAAGACGAGGGCTTCGATTTTGGTGATGAGAAGCAAAGAAAGGCTGAGGCCGACGTGACGCTAAAGGTGCAGCAAGTAAAAGAAACGCTGAAGAACGCGGGTGTAGATGCAGCCGAGAGCAAAGCCAAAAAAGTTGATAAGGAAGTTCCAGTGCCCAAACAGACAGTAGCTATAGAAGAACTGCCGATAGCGACACCAGAAACATGTGAAAGATCACAGCGAGATGTCTCTCTCACGAATAAGACCTCGGTTGATACCGATCCGGAGCTTATGAGAAAGCCATTAAGCACTGAACACAAACATTTAAATGCCGCAGAGCTTACCGCTGGTTTCCTGACTGAAGAACGTCGTCTAGTAGCTGAGGAAAAACTCCTGCAAGCAGAAAGAGAGTCGGCTGAAGCAAAGATAGTATCTGCTCAAAACCTGGAGCCGGTAAAAAGAACCTCGGTGCCCACAACCGCCTCACCAGACCTACTCGACAACGAACCCATTTATGTACTCCACAAAAATATTATTGAGGATCCGCTAGTTGTACCCACAAATCTCATTGCGGCCGACATCGATCAAGCACCGCTGAGCTCCAAGGGAGTCATAGAAATCCAAGAGATCGTAGATCCAATCACAACCGAAGTGGAGCTGCCACAAAACATACGTCCCTTCGAAACTGTCGAGATCAAGATTAAGCAAAAGGTGCCTACGCCAACTAAGACCAGCGAACACACACACCCAGCAAAGGCGACGAAATCAACACCACCCTCACCACCCATACCGCATAAGCGTGAGCATAAATCAACAGAGCTTGTCAGCAACGGCAAGTTACCCACGCCAACACCCAAAAAACGTGGCTCACTCGATCTGAGTGCCACTCGCAGCCACACCACCGCAGGCGACCACACAACGAGCGCTGCCAAAATGCAAACAACTAAATTAGAAATACCAATTAAGACACCAAAAGCCCAACAAAACCTCGAACCAAATCAGCAATGTTCAACCAAATTAGCGCAAACACCGCAACCGCCACCACCAACGGCAACAGCAACAGCCAGCGCAACTGTTGCAAAACCAAAAGAGATCGAGCTTGAGCGCATTATTGTTGGTGTAGAGCAGCAGCAATTTGATGACACCAACAACAACAGCAACCAATCGGCTGTTATTACTTTTGCAAGCGAAGACCTACCAACGGAAGTGTCGATCCCAACAACAGCAAAACAAGTTGTCGCGAATGTGGTGAGCAGCAGCAATAGCGCTTCGGAGCTGCTCGAGACGATTAATTTACCAAATGAGCTGCAAAGCACAACCGATGCAGCCGCGGCAGAGAAATCGAGGAAATCAGTACGTGTTGGCGATGGCATGCAAATACCAATAAAGAGAACAACAACAACAAGTATAACAGCAGCTGTGTCAACAACAGCGTCTACAACATTTGTGTCAACATCGTCTTCGGCGGATTCGGTGCAAAGTGTCATCGACGTGGGTGGCATTGTGGAATCACCATCGGAGGACGAAGTGGAGCGAGGTATTGCGAGGGATACAAGTGTAGAAGGTAAGTGAGCATAATTACTTTTAATTATTGCCAATCAAAAGCAGCCCCGGTAAGGATTTAGGCGTAAAGCTTAAGAGTTTTTTGTCCCAAGTATGACTTTATCGATCTAAGGATTCAATCTCTCTCTCTCTCTCTCTCTCTCTATCTCTCTCTCTCTCTCTCTTGACCAATATAGATTCCGTTTCGTTCTCTGTCTCTATCTCTCTCTTTACCAATAAGGATTCCATTTCTCGTTTTATCAAGAAATATTCTATCTCTCCTCTCTCTCTCTCTCTCAAGGAAGAATTTTTCTCCCTCTCTCTCTCTCTAGCAAGAAATACTCCATATGAATATGTAGAGAGATGAAGTATTTTTTTGGTGTTTTTGTAGAGAGAGCGAGAGATCTCTATCTCTCTTTTTACTGTAGAGGGAGAAAGAGGGAGAAAGAGGGATGGATTCTTTTTACTACAGAGAGAGAAAGAAAGAAGAGAGAAAGAAAAAAGACTCTCTTTGTAGTAAAAATCGAAACATTTTTATTTCCCTCTTCTTTTTTTCTCTCTCTGTAGTAAAAAGACTCCATCCCTCTTTCTCCCTCTATAGTAAAAAAGACTCCATCCCTCGCTCTCTTTACAAAAACACCAAAAAAAGACATTTCATCTCTTTCTTTCTACAAAAGCACCAAAAAATACCTCATCTCTTTCTTTCTACAAAAACACCAAAAAAAGATCCATCTCTCTCTCTCTCCCCTTCCCTTTCTCTCTATATCTAGCGCTTTTACTTCCAATGGAAGACTGCTAGAGGCTTGAGTATATACTTAGATGACAGGCATTCAGTGGTGTTGAGAGAATTGTACAACACCAGAGAGTATGGAGAGAGCGGGATAGATTTTGGGGTATTTCTGTAGGTAGGACGATCTCGTCGTTCCTGCTAAAGCATAGGCATGATGTACACAGTACGGGCTGTGACTCCTGAGTATCAGTAAAAGATCTTCAGAGTCCTTTAACCATGACTTCAGGACATACACCCGGAATGTGCTGGCTTTTAACTATTAAGGCTAGCGCTGCCATCCAAAGAAGGCAATGAACCGATTAGAAATGAGAGCAGATAGATTTTTATAAATAGTATTTCTTATAGCGTCTATATAAGGATGAGAAAAAATGTTGTTGGTTTTGTGGTAATAAAGATAGTCTGTCACCTAGCACTGACATTCGCTTCGGTAGATTAGTGGGGTAGGTAAAAGTTCGATTCAACCACGGCCGCTCCAACTCAACGTCATAATGAAGTGTGAGCACCCACACGGAAAACGCTTCAAATATACTGCAGCTGAGTGATTTTGATCGAATTATGATTCTCTTTAGCAACGTGTCCGTATAGAAAAGTATCTATCCATCTCGCAGCCTCCTAATCGGAAAGTACTAAATTAAAGTATATAAATATATTCAGATTGGGCAGATCACACCAAATACTACAAAGAAGCAGATGCGTGCAGCGCTTTGCTGCTTTATTTGAAAAGCTTGACCGGATCCCACCGCCTTGTTGATTTCGCTATTCGAACATCTTTACAGTCAGGCAATGAAATATCTGTTTCCACGTCATTGATTGGTGAATCGAGTGTGCCATCTTCTGTTGTTGCGTTTTCACTGCCATCCAGCAGGCGGAAGAAATGTTTCCTCCATAAGATCAGTATACTTCAGACATCGAACGCTAGCTCACACCTCTCTGGGTCCCACAAAGCCTTGCCTTGTCATCAGCTCAACGAAATTTCGAGAATCGATCAAACAGCCCTGAAAAAATTTTACCCTCTGTACACGATTAGGTCAGCAAGTACATTGTGAAGCCATTCCTGGGATACAAAAATCTAGCAAAATATTGGCATTTCACAAAAAAATTTTTAAAATGATCTAAATCCATTTACTTTGAACAATTATGCCATTTTTACTCTATTTTTTCTCAACGATTTAGTCGGTATAAAACGGCATAAAATTCCAGCAGCCATAATTTCCTATCTCCTACAAATTTGCATGACCACATGCAATGTATTTGGATAAATGAAAAAAAAAAAAAATTCTAAAAAATACAACAAAAACGAAAAAAAAAAAATATTCAAGAATTATTTGCATATCAAAACAGAACGGCAAATGCAATAATCAAGCAATGCCATGGTTAAATGGCTTACCTCATAAGAGCATAAACGTGTAGCCAAATAATGGCAGAAGCGAATAAGAATAAAGAATAATATTCTAAAATCAGCAATCATTGCATTCTACATACATACATATATGTAACAGCATAATAAAATTGAGATCTCCACTTGGCATGCAATAAGATTCCTTTTGTTGTTATTGTTTTCGCTATGGCAGTAGCACACGCTCATCTGGCAAACGAGCAAAAATCAATAACCTCGCATCATTGCAGTGAATGTGCACGTACATAAATATATATACACGTACATACATATGTGGTTATATAGTTATAAATGCCCTAAAAGCCATAAATTTTCAGGTCACTCAGTCTGGTAGCGCGTTTGAGACGAGGCTTTGTTTTACATACAGAGTTGTATATACATATATATATATATAATTGGCACTTTGTAGCCGCTGAGGTGCTTTTCGGCCGCGCTCCTTCTTCAAATTGTGGTTTTTGTGTCTTGATGTTTTTTCAACAAACGGAGTGACCTACGGCTGATGGTTTTTTTATGAAGAGTTTTTTTTTCCATGTCCGGAGTACGCTCGGAGGAGTTGACATACCCTGCCGAAAGACGACCGCAATTAGAAAATTTGACTTAATTTTTTATTTAAATTCATTTTCTATAACTTTTAAAGGTTGGTCGTACTAGGATTTGAACCCGTGCCTTCCGAATGGTAGTGCGCTATGCGAACTACTCGTCTACCGCGGCCGCTGAGTTGTATGCAACATATCAATAGAGTAACCCAGCTAGCCTTGAGACTGAATTTCTGCTGTCTTCGATAAAAGAATGTCTTGAAACTCTCTCTCTCTCTCTCTCTGTCTCTCTCTTTCTGCTACACCAATGTCTCTTTCTTTCATTTTCTCTGCCTCACTCTCTCCCTCTCACAACCTTACTTTCCCGCTCGCCCTCTCTCCCTCCCTCTCTTTTTTACCTAATTCTCTCGCGCTTACTCTCTCTCTTTCTCTCTCTCTCAATACCACTCACTCTCTCGCGCTTACTCTCTCTCTCTCTTTCTCTCGCTCTCTACTCCACTCACTCATAGTACATTTAATACTACGATTTCAATTTGAAAATATATCGTTATATATGTGTGATAGATCTGATCTTAGTTTGGGTTCGAGTGAGACATTTATTATGTTTCATACAGATATCTCAACTTTTGCTCAAGTTATCGACTATAAAAGGTAAGATGGAAAAACGAACCGAACCTTGGTAGGCAGGTGGGTATAAGGACTCCCCAAAAAGTAGATGACTAGAGACCTATCGGACGAAAACCTTAAGAAAGGACCATCACTATACGCTGCTTGCAGAAAACACAGCTCAGACGACATACCCCATCCGGTTTTCTCAACGTCAATAACAGTGTAGGAACAGAGAGAGAGAGTTTCGGCTTAAATCTAAGGTCTATCCTCAATTGGGAGTTCGGATCTCTGAAGGCGTTTTCTACTCTCAGCAGGTTTAACGATCACTTTATGTTTGATTTTCCAGCAGTTTGGGTGGTTCCGCTTGTCTGACTAGCTGCTCCGCAGGGTTTCTCAGCCTCTCTGCTAGAGTTTTCTTCCTCTCTTGGTTCGATTTCATTTATTTATTGAGCAGAGTTAGAACCTCCCGCTCGGTCACAGCTGTAGTTGAATTTTCATATTCGTGAGTACCACCTGGTGTGTATTCTACGTTAGCTCTTTGGGCATGTTCTTGCATTTGTAGTCAATTCTTGGTCGCTGTTCTTTAGCTGTCCTAAACGGAATTCCGGATAGCGAAGCACTGAAGTTAGAAAAGCTACGGCGTTAGCGACCAGCCAAACTCTGATCACACTCCACGTTATGATGCGCGCCCTCACAGAGGACTGAGTATAAAATTTTCGTTTCTAAAAATGCTGTGAATCCTCAACTCGGTCTCAATACGATTTTCCCAAACAGACAATGGCCACTCAGGAACTCAAGAACTATACACTAACTGACCCCTTCCAGTTATATCACGGACAAATTAGATTGGTAGAACCTGCTTAGCCGTATTCCGTCTTGCAAAATCTTGTTCTTTGTGGTAACTCACTCAGTCTCTGGCATAGGGAACTTAAATCAGAGACAGTCTGTTCTCTTTAATCATATCCACAAGAGATCTGCGCCGATCCAGCATGAGATGTAGTTCATTTGAACTTGAGCTACCATCGTTTAATGCTCATTGGGCGTTGTTGGCATGTGCCACACGAATAATTGTAGTGCGAGGTCGGCGGAGAAACCAGCGCTGGTAGTGGTGGCAAACACCAGCAGTGGCATCCGAGTGATTGCGTGCAATTTTCGCATTGTTTCATCTACTTTTATGCCGATTGATTTTCGCTAGCACACACATACACACATATACATATGTATTACTTTGCAAATTTTCTGGTTTTTAATTTAAATGCTCTTTTCTCGGTCTACCTTATTTATGTATGTATGTATGTATGTTTCTCTTACTCGTGCTTTTTTTTTAATTTTTGCTTTGTAATTGCCATGCGATAAATTGAAGTTGCATGTTCTCTTCTGCAGAATACGCAGCTAAATGCTGTCATGCATCAATTGTTGCCTTCAATCTACGTGTATGCATGCATTTATGTATGTATGTATTTATGTATGTTTGAGCATACCATATTTATTGTCTGCTTCTGCCGCTGCAGTAATCAACAGTAAAATGGTCTCAATGCGCTGACCACTCACAACTGCTGTTGGCTCTGTTGGCGCTCTCTTGCGGTTGCCTACTGTTCTTTTTTAATTAAAATACTAACACTACACAAATTAAAATTTGCAAACGAGCTTCGACTTTCCTCTGCTGTCCTCTTACGCTGGTATACTATACG